CAGCCCGGTGTTGTCACGGGCCCTCACCTGGCATCCTCCGCCGGAGTCGGAGCAGATGGACAGCCGCGCCTACGTGCAGAGAACGCACTCGACGCTCTGTTAGACGAACTCCAGACCTTTGCTCGGCCGCCATCAGAAGCTAGTAGTCGCAAGAGTAGTGTGGATGTGACCCCTGCCACACCCCTGGCCACTGCTGCACCTGCCTCACTCACTGTCACTTCTACCCTCACCACAAGCACTGGTGTAAGGCGATTGCCATCTTTTCCCAGCTCAGACTCCCAGTCTTCTCCAGTTAAGACACCAGCAAACATATTTCCTGGGGCATCCAGCACTCTTCCAAGGATAGCCAATCAGGCACCGCCTCCACCCCCTCGAGATGATCACCGCCTCAGCTTTACATCATCCACATCTTCAGGTTCATCAAGGTCATCACCACGTTGTAGTATTAGTGGAGAACCTCACCGCTTGCCACCTCCGCCACCACCACGTACATCATCCAGGTCACCAATGTTGTCACCATCATCACCAATAAGTCCAGCTCTGAGGTCAGTGTCAATGCCTCCAGGTGGTATAGTGGCCACCATGGTGGGTGGGGTGCTGAGAAATGCTGAGGGCCGTGAACTTTATGGTCCTGTTCTGCGCCAACGGCCTCCACTAGGGCGAGGGTCATTTAGCGAAGAATCTACAGCATCATCTGCCTCCACCAACAGTTCTACCAGTAGTGCCAAGGCTGGCCAACTATCCTCCAACAGTAGTAGCACTGAGAGTGTCAACTCTCAGGAGGGTGCAGCAAGCTCTCGCCAAGAAAATACTAGTAGTGTGCCTCCAACACCTCCACCCAAACAGAGGCAAGAGAACCTAGAAGCACGACATTTAGAGCTGTTGAGGCGGCAGAAGCAGCTGCAAGAACAGTATCAAAGGTTGCAGTCACTGCAGAGGTCAGGAGGCCGTCCAACACCTTCAAACATTGATCTGAAAAAAACAGGAAGTGAAAGCAACCTGACAGCACGACTGGGGCTGTCTTTGGCTCCTGCTGCTCATGGATCACTCTCCAACCTCACTTCTCCCAACCCTACACACATCTCCAATACAAATACCCTCCCTAATCCTAAGACTTCTTCTGCAACCTCCACTGGTGGGGGTGACAATCACCCCACCACCAAACGCAGCAGTGGAGGCATTGTTGAGACAGACATTCTCTGAAGAGAAGCACTGTTGTTGATAAACCAGATAAGATAATGTTCTTCCCTTTCTCACAGGGTAAGGAAATGTATATATGTAAAGTTTTTACATACACAAAAACTGCCAACAGAAATAATTAAGGAAGAACCTACCTTGCAACATACGCTTTTTTTTAGGGCTCATTTTGCATCATTTGACAATGCATAATTTTTGTCATGTTAGAAAAATCAAAAACCTTATACCTACCAGTTTTTTAAATAAATGAAGACATTTCTTTTTTTTTTACTTGGAAGCATTGAGTCCCCAAAATGTGAGATAAAACTATTGCTCAACACCCAGGACATGAAAGGCTCTCAGCTGAAAGCTTTAATTACATCAACTTTTCAGGCAAAAATTATGTACCACATACCATTCTGCACAGGATTTTTGTTTTTTGAATCTAAGATAAGCTTTATGTATGTAATCTACTTGTGATTTTAAAGACAGTATTATAAATTAATACAGTACAGTGGTTCAAAGAAGCACATGATTGTTATGGAAGACTGTAGATGTAACCTAGGATAAAATCTTAGAGCAATTGTGACAACTTTTTTGAAAAGTTGTAACTAGGGTTTTCACTGAGAAGTTGTAAGCTGTGTGAGAATGTTGTTAAGTTGTTTGTAGGTCTGTATTCTGAGAGAGAGAGAGAGAGACTGCCTTCTGCTTCTAATTAATTATACATTTCAGTATCATGATGTATCATACAGTATCATGACATATGCTATATCATGCAGTATCATGATGTATCATGCAGTGTCATGCTGTATTATACTGTTTCATACAGTATCATGTATCATGATGTGTCATGCAGTATCATGAAGAATCATGCAGTATCATGATACTATATCATACAGTATCATGATGTATCATACAATATCATGATGCATCATGCACTATCTTGATGTATCATGCAGTATCATACAGTTTCATACTGTATCATACAGTATCATAATGTATCATGCAATATAATACAATATCAAGCTGTATCATAGTGTCATGATGTTTCATGCAGTATCATGATGTATCATACTGTGTTATATAGTATCATGCTGTGCCATACAGTATCATGATGCATCATGCAGTATTATTATATATCATGATACTGTATCATACAGTATTATGATGTATCACACAATATCATGATACAGTATTGCATGCTATTCAGTATGATAATGTGTCAGTCAATATCATACTGTATTGTACAGTGTCATGATGTATCTTGATGTATCATACTGTATCATGATTTTTCATGCGGTATAATATGGTATCATGATATGTCATATAGTATCATGATGCATCGTGTATTATCATACAGTATCATGATGTATTATACTGTATGATCCGATATCATACAGTGTTATGCTGTATCATACCGTATCATGATGTATCAGTAAGAAAAGGACATCTTATCTAATGAAACTATGGTGAGTATTAGTTTTACTGCTAGTGCATAAACTATGACTTATTTGTGTACTAAACATTAGTAAATTTTTGGAAAATACTATCACACTATGTGACACATAGATCTGCTTATATATTTAATAAGCAGTGTATTATTGTTTGTATTTCTGTTAGACTGAAAATATCTGTTTATATAGCAGGCCTAATATGCCAACCCTTAAACTGTGTATATATTTATAGTGCAGTGTAGGGAGCTGAGCACATTAAATTTGTATGCAGAAATCATAGCGGGTTCAAACGAAGATCTGTCAGGTGAGCATCTTGGCTCTTATGTGCCAAATTTATTTACAGCCAAAAATATTCTTGTTCTTAATACCACAAGAGAAATGGTTTGTAATATTCTGACTCTCATGACATGAGGACACAATTTTGCTGAAAGAGAACACTGGTGGCATTGTATAATAGAATACCAGAAAGCAGTGACAATGATATCAGTGGTGCTACATACATGTGTTTTATAACACAGTATATGAGAGATAAATGTATGCAAATAAGCAGACTTGTTAGGTTGTTGCTGAGATGTGCAGTAATGACGAGTGTATTTATTTTGTGTCGACTTGTTTCACAAACTCTCACAAAGTGAAACATATGTAAGATGATAGTCAACCTATGTGTATAGTGTAAATACTGTACTTCAATACCTGTGAAAAAAAGTATTTTATATGTATTATAAAATATATTTTGGTGCTATGCTGTATTGCGACACCCTGCTTCACTAGGCTTCAGCCCCGCAAGTTCCTCACTTTATAGAAGGGTAATGTGTTCATATTTTGTACTAATTTTTCATATTTCTATACTGTTTTACATGCTCTACAATATCATAAGAAACGAGAATAACTCACTCTTCAGTCTAGGGATGGCAAGGTCCTTTCACTTTCCTCCCATGCACAGTTTAAGGGTTAATACAGGTTACTTATTTCAAGTTCAGTTAAAAAGTATCCAATGTCAATCAGAGAATGGTGAGATATTGTATTTTTCCAAGAGATATAATAATGACTGATATTTGATTAATCATTTTCAGTACCATTGATTTTAAACCATTTTTAAATATCAAGATCAACATAGCCAGTTTTTTCATTTCCTTGTAGAAGTTTCCTAGATAGTGTGGATGTATTCTTGTGTAAAAGTGGCCGTAAGTGATCCCTGCAGTATGACTATGGTGGCTGTATCAAGAACTGGTTCACCTGCTCCTCGGAGCTGGCAGCTGTGTCAAGAGTGATTTAGCTGTTCCTCAGAGATGCAGGCTGTATCAGGGACTGGTTCAACAGTTCCTCAGAGGTGCATCAAAGACTGTCTTGGCTGTTCCTCAAAGGCAGTAGGTGTGTCAAGGACTGGCTTAACTGTTACTCAGTGGAGGCAACCTCAGGAACTGCCTCAGCTATTTCCCGGAGGTGGCAGCTGCATCAAGGACTGGCTCAGAGATATAAAGTAGCACCAAGGTTAGTGAAGTATATACTGTAAATAAAATACCACATAAGGGGTTATTCACCCCACTTCTTTCTTCAAAACGTGATTGAGATTATGGGTTTATTTTATTTTATACATTGCTAAACACATACAAGAAGGATATAAACAAAATCTTTTGAAATCTATTCTTTTTCTAGCAAGCAAGGAAAGACATTGTATATATATTTTTACCTACCTAATATTAGACATCTTTAAATATTCCAGATTTATGCTGTGAATTCAGTTGTACAACATTTTTTACTTGTTTTGTGCAGCACTTTGAAAAATCTCTCTCTAAGACTATTGCTCAGACAGAAATACGATTTTGAAAAGGGCAGTTTTTACTAACCTCAAAAGATTTTGATATTAAGGGAACATCATCAAATATTAAAAGCAAAAGTAAAATTGTGGTATATTAACCCTTGAATTGTCCAAACATAGATCTATGTTCGCTCGCGAAGCGCTCCGAACGTAGATCTACATTTTTTTTACATTCTTTCTTATGGAGAAAATCAAGGTTGGAGCGCTACGCACACAAGCGTAGATCTATGTTTGGACAGTTTAAGGGTTAAAAGGGGTTAAAATAATGATACATACAGATATACAATAGTTTACACAAAAGCTGCCTTTTGCACACCATAGGTTTGTTTTGGTCGTGTTGCTTTACAAATGTACTCTTGTTAATTAGTAAAATCAGTAAAATAAACATGAAATATTTTTAAAAGGCACGAAAAAGACATCGCATATCAATATGCAGCCGCAGACACATCCACTTGCACACATCAAGACATTGAGTAGAAAGAGATGGCCAGTCAGGTCCAGTTCATGTGACTCATATGAGTGATAGTGTCCTGCAGATGCTCAGTTGCAGCTAAACTGAGTGACACTAAAAGACACAAAAATTGCTAAGTGCAAGAAAACTGAAGAACCATTCAGTACACAAAGACATTCAATGGAAATCAAGGACCCCGATGGAAATAAGTCACTTGTCTGACTTTTTTGGGTTATCCTAGGTAATTTACACATATGTTACTATGTATGGTGACTGTATTTATGTGTACCTGTACCTAAATAAACTTAATTACTATTTTGAAAACCTAAGTGATGTAAGAACAGAGGAAAATATGTCTTTGTTCATTGCTGAACATTGTTCATTATAAGAAGTTGACCATTTAACCCTTTCACTGCCGGGACCCCTGATTCTAAACTCTTGCTCTGTGTCAAAAAAATTAAAAAAAAAATTATTTTATGAAATGATAGAAAATCTTTTTCCAATGGTAATGACACTAAAAGTACAAAATTTGATGGAAAACTTACGGAATTACGCTCTGGCGAAATTAGCAATCTTGGCAATATATATGCATCGGCAATTTTGCCCACTTTGAGCCCTATTTTCAGCCAATTCCATTGTTCCAGTCAACTAAACTCATAGCTATTTTGCTAGAACTCCATTTGTTCTATCGAGTGAGTACAAGAAATTGCTCATTTACTGATTTCAACTACTCAATAAAGTGATCAGAAATTCATTATTTGGCCAAATTCGTACACAATTCAAGTAAGGCCAATTTCAAAATAGGGGCCAGAGTTAACAATGCAGACATTCCTAGCACTAAAATAACATCTTCTCTGTTCATTAGTCATGTCTCCAGGCCCCTCTTATATTACATTTCCTTTCCATTTTGAATTTTTATTCACACAAAAAATAGAAGATTTATTGTTATGCAGACTACTGCATTACTGGAAAAATGGTATAAACAATATCAGCACACTTGTGACAGAATATTAGACTCACCAGTTGATGTGTATTGGACGTGTGGCATGATTTGTTTACTCTTGAACCAAAAACACGGGATTTTTTTTATACTGCTCATGCTGACCACTCAGACCCTTTCTACTAGATCTAGGTCTACTAGCTTTCTCCTACTAGATTTAAAGCTGCTAGAATTTTGGCGTAGTACTACAGCACCAACTCTGGCTTGTAAGCTGTAGTACTATGGCACCAACAGTGAAAGGGTTAAGTTAACTCTGCAAAGAACATTTTGCTGACAGCTGTGGATGTAAGAACTTTTTGAACTCAGGATTGGGATTTAGCAGATCTGGAATAATTGCTTGAATGCTGGCACATTATATTTAGTGCTGTTTCATGTAAATTTAGCTTGTTTTAGGCAAATGTCTGGTACTACAGTGGACCCTCGCCTAATGAATGCATCGCATAACGTTAAATCCGCCTAGCTATACATTTTAACCAAAAATTTTGCCTTGGCTAGCGCTAAAAAACTCGCTCAGCGCGATTCGTTTTAGATGCGTCCACGTGCGGCCTGAGCCCTCCTCACTTGTTCTGTGGGTGCCAGTGTTTACAAGCCAGCCACCGCGGTCGCTTCCAAGCATACAATCGGAACATTTCATATTATCACAGCCTTTTTAGTGATTGCACCTACAAAATAAGTCACCATGGGCCCCAAGAAAGCTTCTAGTGCCATCCCGACAGCAAAAAGGGTGAGAATTACTATGTATATGAAGAAAGACATCATTGCTAAGTATGAAAGTGGAGTGCGTGTCTCCGAGCTGGCCAGGTTGTACACAAAACCCCAATCAACCATCGCTACTATTGTGACCAAGAAAACGGCAATCAAGGAAGCTGTTCTTGCCAAAGGTGCAACTTTGTTTTTGAAACAGAGATCACAAGTGATAGATGTTGAAAGACTGTTATTTGTGTGGATAAATGAAAAACAGATAGCGATCAAGCGATCATATGTGAAAAGGCTAGGAAGTTGCATGAGGATTTAATTAGAAAAATGCCTGCAACTAGTGGTGATGTGAGTGAATTTAAGGCCAGCAAAGGTTGGTTTGAGAGATTTAAGAATCGTAGTGGCATACATAGTGTTATAAGGCATGGTGAGGCTGCCAGTTCAGACCACAGAGTGGCTGAAAAATATGTGCAGGAATTCAAGGAGTACATAGACAGTGAAGGACTGAAACCTGAACAAGTGTTTAATTGTGATGAAACAGGTCTGTTTTGGAAGAAAATGCCAAGCAGGACCTACATTACTCAGGAGGAAAAGGCACTCCCAGGACATAAGCCTATGAAAGACAGGCTTACTCTCCTCATGTGTTCCAATGCCTAGTGGTGATTGCAAAGTGAAGCCTTTATTGGTGTATCACTCTGAAACTCCCAGAGTGTTCAGGAAAAACAATGTCCTCAAGGCTAATTTGTGTGTGCTGTGGAGGGCAAACAGTAAGGCATGGGTCACTAGGGACTTTTTCTATGACTGGTTGCACCATGCATTTGCCCCCACTATGAAAAATTACCTAATTGAAAAGAAATTAGAGCTTAAGTGCCTCCTGGTATTAGACAATGCTCCTGGTCATCCTTCAGACGTGGCAGAGCGACTTTCTGCAGAAATGAGCTTCATTAAGGTTAAGTTTTTGCCTCCTAATGCCACTCCTCTCCTGCAGCCCATGGACCAGCAGGTCATTTCCAACTTCAAGAAACTGTACACAAAAGCTATGTTTGAAAGGTGCTTTGTAGTAACCTTAGAAACTCAATTGACTCTAAGAGAGTTTTGGAGAGATCACTGTAGCATCCTCAATTGTGTAAACATTATAGGTAAGGCTTGGGAGGAAGTGACTAAGAGGACCTTGAACTCTGCTTGGAAGAAACTGTGGCCAGAATGTGTAGACAAAAGGGATTTTGAAGGGTTTGAGGCTAACCCTGGAATCCTATGCCAGTTGAGGAATCCATTGTGGCATTAGGGAAGTCCTTGGGGTTGGAGGTTAGTGGGGAGGATGTGGAAGAGTTGGTGGAGGAGGACAATGACGAACTAACCACTTATGAGCTGCTGGATCATCTTCAACAGCAAGAGGCCAGACCTGAGGAAACTGCTCCGGAGGAGGGGATAGAGAAATTGAAGAAGTTGTCTACTTCAAAGATTAAGGAAATGTGTGCAATATGGCTTAAAGTGCAAACCTTTTTTGATGAAAATCACCCTCGCACAGCCATTGCAAGTCGTGCTGGTGACTATTACACTGACAATGTTGTGAAACACTTTAGAAATGTCATAAAGGAACGGGAGGTACAGGCCTCTATGGACAGATATGTTGTGCAACAGAGGTCCAGTGACTCTCAAGCTGGTCCTAGTGGCATTAAAAGAAGAAGGGAAGTAACCCCAGAAAAGGACTTGCCACCTCAAGTCCTAATGGAAGGGGATTCCCCTTCTAAACATTAACACCATCCACAGTTTTGTAGATGAATGGTTCAGAGAACCGACATGTTCATAAATTAGACACATGTGCAACTCTTGGGTATCTTTATTGAGGAAACATTTCGCCACACAGTGGCTTCAACAGTCCATACGTAGGAGAAACTTGAAGAACAGGAGGAGAATGAGGTAATCAGTCCCTCAACCTTGAGTTGATGTGTTAAGTCCATCAATCTTGAATAGAATACGGCATATGAGCGGAGAAGCAGCTTATAAACCGTATGGCAGAAGAGGTGCAGCAGTCATAGGTGGTGTCACATTTGTTCAATGTGGAAGTAGGTCTTGCCCAAGAATTAGGCAAGCAAAGAATTCCTAAGTATTAAGATCCCAAGAAGTTGCAGTGTCTGACAGGTTTGTAG